ATATGGCTAATATACAATATGGCTAATATACAATATGGCTAATATACAATATGGCTAATATACAATATGGCTTAATATACAATATGGCTTAATATACAATATGGCTTAATATACAATATGGCTAATAAACAATATGGCTTAATATACAATATGGCTAATATACAATATTACTAATATACAATATGGCTAATATACAATATTACTAATATACAATATGGCTGATAAACAATATTGCTAATATACAATATGGCTAATATACAATATTACTAATATACAATATGGCTAATATACAATATTACTAATATACAATCCTAAAAAATGTCCAACTAAAACCATAATAAGCACAAAATGCCCTTATAGGTAGAAAGCATCCCTATCTCCATATGGTTAAATATGGAAGTCACTTTTCCTTGTAATTAGGCCTGTATTCCCTGCTATTTACTTTACTTTGGTTTGGTTACATTTAAGTAATAGTTTATGCTTGCTATATTTAAATTCAATTTGTATTACTTATAAAGTCACCATCTTGAAAATCCTAAAGCTTTCTACGTTAGCGGGCATGAAACGGGATTAATGCCCAAAATAGCTGGAGGCGTTCCCTAAGCAAGGCAATTTTGTCTAATTGCAGAGAATATCGTAATCATTCTCATTGTTTTGGTAAATTGGAAGTTTAGACGGATAAACTGCAAATCATATCATTCAAAGCAATCGGTTCCGGGAGAGAAGGCGGCGAGAACGGTAATAGACAAAATGATAAAAAAGAATCCTGATGTCACTGACATCAATTCACTAAGATCAGAAGCAAGTTTGCAAGACCGACTCAAGGTAAGTTATTTCAATGGATTTGTTTTTTACACCTGCAACAAAGATAAGGAAAAGACGCAAAGCAATTTTTCTAGATTATTAGATCAGTGAATAATTGCAGACTATCTGAGAATTTCAAAACATTATTCCTGCTTCTTCCTTTTCTTTTAGCAGAGATGTTTTGTAACAACAATCCTTTTTATAAATTGGAAAACCAAAAAGTAAAAAAACTTTTTCAAACCTCTTTTCAGTCCGTCCCTTCTTTTTCATTCTATGGCATTTCTATAAGTCTCAAGCAGGGACGCCGGAGAAGGGGCACGAGGGCTCAACCACCCCTGTTGCCTTCTGAAAGAAGGGGCAAGGGGGCCAGAGTGCCCTTTTCATTAATGTGCCCATGAAACCGGTAAATTTTAATAACCTGAGAGATTCACATGAATTTTTGATTGCAGTGCTTAATTCATGACGACATTTCTCAAAACTTGTAAAATATATTTTTATGCCAAAAGTTAGCCAATTTTTAAGATACCTACAGAAGATCAAAATAAAATGGCAGTTACGAAAGAATTATTAGAAGCTGACAGCTATCTTTCAAATGCCCTTTTATTCAAGCTTGCCCCCTTGCCTTTCGGTCGTTCCAACGTCCCTGGCCCAAAGGGCTCTCCTTTACTCAAAAACCAATTGAACAGCATCAATTTGTTTCTTTGACATCCTATAATTTCTAAACCAGCTCTTCCCGCACTCGCCCGTTGTTGATTAATGGAAAATACAATTACAATTTTATTCGACAGTTTTTTTTAATGGCATGTGCATTGAAAAGGTCAAGTGTTTATATTGCAAATCCATTTGCGTAATAATCGTTGTGGCTTGATCTTTAAACCTCAATTTCATTGCATGTTAGCATCCCAAAAATCGCGAGTATTCGCTATCATGCTATTTTTAGCAAGCAAATTGCAGCATTGTGTTTACCGTTTCCGCTGCCTCAGATTTCTGGTAATTGGCCACTGATAGCAGAAGTGCCTCTATTTGTTTATATCTCTATTACTTATTATATTCTATTTCAGATTAAATCAGTTGATTTATTATTCTAAAATTCACAAAACATACATATTATGCTTCATTGATATACTTCAGTGGCGGCTCCAGCCCAGGATAAGAGGAAGGGACAAAAGGGGGTCAACGACCACGCCCTTCTCCTGTGAGAAGCATTTTCTTCCTTGGGAAACATCCCTTGTCTCCCAAAAACTGTCATTTAATTTACCGTTGGCAATGAACACTATTGCCTGACATTTAACTTCAGAGTTTTGAAATTAGAAATTTCACGTGTGTAAAAACGATGAAAAGTCCTATAATGAAGTGCTACTGGTAAAAACTTTCAAAAGCTACATTGTCATGAGATCTAATACAACAAACTGTTCCAGGTACAAATATTTCGCAAATGCTTTTGAGGAGATACAAAGTTCTTATCGATAGACCAGGTTTAATATTATGGACAATAAGATCAGCTTCCTCGATTTGATGGCAAAGTGTTTTCGAAGAGTTGATAAGTCAATTCTGTTGGAAGGAAATATCTCTATCGTTGCCTGCGTGCAGACTTGACTTTCCGTTGCGAAGGAAAACCAATATGGAACTTGTAATATAGCTCTCCTTCGAAACGGAAAGTAAAGTCTACACGCAGGCTATCTTTATCGCTGCTTATTAAAAAAGGTTTTATAGCACTGTAGACAGGATCAATAAACTAAGGACGGTAATCTACAAAATTACTGACAAAATGATAATGATACTTGGAAAAAAAGGTTATGGCTTCACACCAAAATCAGCTTCTGGTGATCTAGATTAAGTACATATCCCCGAAATTTTCTCATCGGTTTTGCAAGAACCTCAAGGACCAACTTTCTGAAAAAGTGGGGGGACTAGTCTTGCCAATTCCCCCACTCCTCCTCCATGTGGCTGTGCCACTGTTACATTTATTTAATACTATTTTATGTATTTACAACAGTTAAAGATATAAATGTATTAAAAACAATAACATAACAAAATGATAAAAATTGTGTGGAAACTGGTAAATTTTCGAAAATTTAATTTATGTAGTGATAAAAAATAGCCCCTTCAAAATAAAAAGCCTCTTTGAACCTACCCTGGATAACAGCAACAAAAAATCAGAACTAACGGCAACAAAAAAAATTATTTTCGGTTCATATATTTCTGTTCCTTTGGCTTTTAGTCTTCAACAACCTTGCTTTGATTTTCGCATCTGTTGCTTCATTTATCATTGCTTCAAACAATTTCTCTCTTTCTTTTTCTCGAACTTTATCTACTCACAAAGGGAAAGATAGGCCATTTGGATCCATTGCACAATTCAGTTCAACAACGCTCAACCCGGTCAGAACCCGATGAAACCTTAAAAGCAAAAAAATTAAGAAATTATTAAATCGTTATAAAACTGAGGGCAACGAAAATTTTTAAAATCCAAGAATATGATTGCCCTGTTGGCTTAGAACTTAAGACACAAGCGATAAAATAAATATAAATCTAAATACTGCTATACTACACTTTAACTACAGTGCAACCAAGTATATATAAAATAACTCACGGCCCTTTTCAACTCGACTTGTCGCAGAAAGGAGCAGAGAGACAACGACTTCTTTCGTCAGCACTTTGAACAAACAACAAGATGCTTCTCCCAAAACTCCTTCCTCTTAAAACTACAACAGCGTATTTATAGATACAAGCATTTTACAAGTATTAATAACATCCAATCAGCTAAATACACACAAGACCTACAACCAAAAGAAACATAGATCATTAACAGCGAAGTTATCCGAAAATAAAGTGTTTGTCAAATATTTAAATTATAGCCTACAATAGTTCGAGTTCAAAATGTCAAAGTTCAGAAATTAACATTTTTCGATTTGGTGTACAACAATACAGCATCAGACCGGATTCGAATCTTTTGACGTGTTAAAAAAGGTCACGAACATTTCATAACATAGCATAATTTCGTAACAGTAGAAACATCTTCTGTAATAGTTCCTAACGTTAACTAAAATTTCTTCCTAGCATGAAAATTAAATATAAAGAACCCCAAATTTGAAATTTATGACATCATAATTAAGAAACTATTAAGAAACAATGAGTATTGAGATTTCCAGAACATTAAGAAACTGGAGTATTCAACATCGACCTTTGTTTCCTATAAAAAACTAATTGTATTCATTTTCCAGAATTAGACATAGCACCATATCATGAGGAAATTTTTGCTAAAATTTTCCTGCATATCCGTAATCTCAGTTTCACTTCTTCGCTTTCACAGGTCCTTTCCTTAATATAATTTAAAATTTCTGGTTCCAAAGGAAATATGTCCAAACAAGAACTCACTGAATAGGTTTATGAATAAAAGAGGAGAATCTCGGTGTATTGCATAAACAAACTTTATGCAAACATTCTAAAGCAATATTCGACAGTTTTCATTGCCAGAGGCTACTTCAAAAAATATAAGTATAAGTAAAATTTTAATCAATTATACTTCAATTGTTTATTATTGATTTATTATGCGAGTTTTCTTTATGATCGGCTTAAGTTCGGCTTGGTTACGCGAATGCAAACGTAATTGCATGACCCACCTTTGCGATTGTTTCAGTACTTTTGTACTGTTAATGTTCTTGGGAAACGACAACTGGTGAAATGTGAAAAAGATGCTTTCAAGGTACCTGCTTTTAAGAAGTCGTATAGGTTTTATGTTCTAGAGATAATTTCTAGAGGACTGTATATATTTTGACATAAATGTGAGATGAATAGTTAAATAGTTTCATCACTCTTGACATACAACGGGCTGACAAAATCACCTTCGATTGAAGTGAATGGTAAGGAGTCTCCCACTCTAAAGCTTGGTAAGTCCGCAGTTTTAGGATTTCCATAGAAAATAATTACTTTTGCAAAGAGTACACTTGCCGATAACTTTCTTGACAACTTTACGTCCCTTTACTTCCAAGAAGTGACTACATAGTTCTAAAGAGTTTCATTATTCTACAGTGAAAGAAATGCTTGTGACAATCATGTATCAGTAACTTTGTAAGGTGACTTTTTTAAGAA